ATTCATCGGTTCCATTTATCTTTTGTCTGTGACCATGCACTTCAAACATAAGCGATTTTAGGTTATCAATCTAAATTTGGTCATAGAACGATGGGCGCTATCGGTTGACCTGAAGAAGGCGTACTGTGAAAAATCCTTGTTTCCAATATTTCTTACTTACATGCATAGAACTTCGTGCACCCCTCCTGTGAGAAAATAAAATGTGAGGAAAAGCACAAAATGTTACAGTACTTATTGTCTCCTGGACATTTAGTTGCTTAGTAGTCAGCAGCCATGCCAAGCCGACTCAGTATTTAGTTTACAACCGTGCAGCTGTGTGTGAATTCCAGTGCAGTTTTGGTAACCTTACCAGTGATTACTGCAATTCTTAATTTTCCATCCCTCTGGATCTTTATTCTGGTTTACTGGTCACAGTCACACTATCCTCGTCTGAACGGCCGTCCTCCTGCCCTGGGGTAATTATTTCGGTGAGGCCACACCAAATTCTGATTTAATTAGACGGATTTCCAAGCCTAGCCACAGAACTTTATTCCAACGGCAGAACTGTGAATGACCGGCAGCTGAGGGCGTGAGTAGTTATCACGTGGCTGGCATATGTGCATCCGCATGACAGATCGATATGCGTGGAGTAATCGATTGAACTTTCGGGCCAAAAAAAAGAAAAATTCAAAGAAACGGCCAAACACCATCCCAGCACACCTCTGCCGGCATGTCATTGTTCCTCTTCCAATTTTATTACGGTGGCTTTTTCCAAGAACAGAATGTGAGACCATGAGAAACTCCCAGGAGTCTGTTTGGTGCCACATTGGAGTTAGTCCTTCCTTCGTAGGTTCCTTTGAATTATCGATCTTGGAAGTAATAAAAAAACACTTTGCAAACTTTCTAGTATTAGCAACTCAACGTAAATATCTCGCGAGGATCTGAACGGCCTTGATTTACACCGCAAATCTGCAAAGTGGGCGTTCAAGTCTGCTGAGAAAATACCTTGAGTAGTTGTTTGGGAACAACTAGAATCTAACTGTAGTGGAGGTAGTTGGAGTTGTTAATTGCTAGAAACCAGTGTCTTTTGCTAGACAAAACAGCTGGTCCATCGTACTCAAGAACCTAACTGTTTTCAGCCTTAAATCTAGCATGGTATGGCGTAAAAACAGAACGAGAAAGTTGTAAACTTTTCATCCCTTCCTAGATTCAGTCCTCGTCTATGCGATCTTGGTGGTATATGGTTGAAAATTATTCCGGAACGATGACTGCAACTGGATTACAGATCATTCACCGTCCGAGGAACACACCGATGATTAGTGTTCCAACAGAATACTGTTCCCAGTTAACTTCTCTCCGAGCGGTTGAGGAACCAACGGTAAAATCCATAAACCCAGCACTTCCTAGGCATCTTTTGACACGATATTGCAGACAGCCCTCCTACAGAAACCCTCAACATCTGATTTTGAAAATTCAGAAAGGTTATTCTCTAGTCAGAAGAAAATGGAAG